CTTGTTGCGTCATCGAGGTCATGTGACTGGTGTGGCGCCACCTATTTTCTAGAACTATCCTGTTCCTTCCGGAGAGCTCTAGCTTTTGCTAGATTGGGAGTGGTCTGGTATATATAAGATGGTCACGGCGTGACGTGACAGTGTGTGTGTAGATAGTGAGTAATTGAACTGCAGTCAGAAAGTATTGTTGAAGTTAACGTCGTTGTTATAGCGTTGTTATGGAGCGACTGTTGAAAATAAGTGTATCGGTAAAGTTATATTCAGAAAGAATAAACCAGTTTTATTAAGAAAGGACTTGTGTCGCTAAAGTTTCGTGGGAACGAAGTTACGGAAAATCAACTAACGAACGGAGACGTAACAGCAGAAACAAGGAACTTTAATCGCCAAGCTAAGTACAATGACAAGCACCCCTCATTAAAAAATATATCCATACAACATATATCTTTCCTGCAAAACACCATAGACATATAAAAGAATTTCTGATAAAAGTTCAATATTAAATTCACTTGAAAAAATTACCATTTCTTCTTTTTCTAATTTTCAGCACTGGGAACAGGACAGGTAGAGTATTCGGCGCCTATCTTCTGAAAGTGGTTTTTCTTGGATTACTTCCGTTTCCCTCACAACAAATCCTAAGGCACTTGGATTTACTGATTCCAGCCACCCTGTTCCCCGATCCCGGGGTAAGAATAAATGATTTTGGTTTACAGTATCCAGAAGTGTAGATGACCCAAGCCAAACGATATCTTTCGTGATTGTCGTTGGAAGTTGTTGGTAAGGTAATGGCTAGCTGGCAAGGGTGCCCACATAAAAAAATTAGGGGGGGGGGGCAAGTAACTTAAGTTTGAAAAAATTATGAAATCGAAATACAAATACCTTATGACTTTCCAATAATATAGAAGCATAAATTTACATATCTAGTAATTTTTTCTTTTTGAAAATCCAGGGGGGTCAAGTGACCCCCCTTTCCCCTTACTGCGGGCGCCCATACTAGTTGAATAATTTCAAAGAAGAATTTGGCTACAGAAAGTCAACGTGTAGAAGAGACAAGAGTTACTGATGGACAATTTCCAGAGAATCATTAATGATAGATTCACCAGTGAATTCGTTCAACAACTCACCAAGGGAGAACTCCCTCAGAGACAGGATAGTCACAGGAAGTGACGAAAAGGGACAAGAAGCCATCCTATGTGTATGCCATAACTATCGGAAAAGAAAAACCCCGAAAAAGACATGGTGATGGTGTACAGGTAGTGTGCACTGTTTATTGCTGTATTAGGATTTTTCATGGGATGTTACAATTCAGTAAGACGTAGTATTATAAGCTATATTATAATGTTATAATTTAGTTGCTTACTAGAGGGTGCATGACGTTATGATCTGGAAAATCCTTTTAGTGAGTAGAAAACAAGTATGATTATAAATACGTGAAGCAGTGAGTAAATGAGTTGTTTGATAATAAGTTAATAAGCAATCACTGAGTGTTTCAGACCAGTGTAAGTAATAAAGGTTATCATATCTGTTCAATTAAATGATCATTAACAAGGAAATTCTGCAACTGAGTGACACGTAAATTAGGCGTCGGTACTAATAATTTCGGAATTTCTGTTGGAACTTTGTTTGCGAAATAAGACCTACAGAGAACGTAGTTTGTAGCGAACATTATAGAAGAAATAAACTAATTTGTTATCGTTTCGTGGATTTTACCAAATAAACCAAAAGAAGCTGATCAATGACAGAACATGTTATAACAATATGCTTATCAAATTTTCTTATTGCTTTATTTTGTCTTAAATTATAGCAAATATTATCCACTAGTATTTCATTTCTTTCTTTCTAAACAAAATAGCATGTTTCTGTTTTATGAATTGATAATCATAGCAGTACATATAGGCTTTTGCTCATTCTTGCAAATCGCATTAAACATAAGGGCTTGTTTGGTTTTTCGCATGGAAGATTCCCATAAAAGAAACAGTCATCGAGTTATAAAAAACGAACAAACCCGAAGTTATTTGCTTTTTTTAAATTTAGTTTGCAAATACAACTGTTAAATTTTTCCTCCAAATATTATCAACAGCAATTTGAGTGTTTTTGCCCTCTGCAGCTCTTTTCATTAAGTTAACCAGTTGCTGTAACAACGTGAAACAGTAGTATAAAAATACCGAGGAGCAAGTGTGATACGTGTGTATTTATGTCGTATTTGAATGATTTTAACTTAGCTTTACTCATTTCGTAATAACATTGTACATAACTTTAATTCAACATTTCAAGCATCATGAATATATAATCTGCCATTGATAATCTAGTATTAAGTGATATATTAATTCATGCTGCTCTCTAGATTTGTAAGTTTAAGTACTTTAACTAATTCTAGCATCATGTTGGTGTAGAACTATAACTTACATTTACAACTTACAAGTACAACTGTAACTTATAAGTAAACACTGGTATTTTACTTTTAGTCAATCTAATCTAAAGAATAACGTAACTTTATATTTTAAAGATAACATCTACAACTTCCATAAACACTGATCTAAATTGTTACGCTCTGTCTTTAATCTTCTTTCACTATCCGATTCTTTGAATATACAGTGAGTGAAATTTAAAATAGGTATATTTTAGATAGCTTATTAATTTAAAAAAGTATTTCTTTGTTTCTGTAAATTTTACTTCTATGCCTGCTACTTTGTTTCTTTAAGATACTTGTTACTGTTTTAATAATGTGATTTTTTGTTTGTTTGTTTACTGTGTTGCTTATTCTGTAATCATTCTGTTGAATTTCTGGAAACTAGGCAGTCTGTATCCCAGTTTTTAAATTGTAAGGATTATCTTACCAGTAATATAAAACCAAACCAGTGTCAAAGTTAATTTTGTGATTATTATGCTCAAAAACAATGTTTGATAATTCTGTTTTTCTTATTGGGAGCTAGTTAATTTAGAATTACATCTCTAATTTAAGAAAATAAAACAAGTTGTGTGATCAGACTAAATGACCATATGTTGGCACCAAGTTGCATCTAAAAAAGCTGTAAACATAAATAGAAGTAAGTTTAAAAAGATAAACTTAAATACAAGTTTGTTTTTTCTTATTGAAAAAAAATTAAGCTCACAGCACATTTTACTGTAACAACTAAACCTTCCAGCTACGGTGAAACAGAGGTTAAACCACACCAAAGGTGCTAGTTAGTTAAACCTTCCAGTTATGGTTGAACAAAGACTGAACCACACTATAAGTGTTAGTTAGTTAAACATTCCAGTTCTGGTTGAACAGAGACTGCACCACAGTAAAGGTATTAGTTATGAACTCATTGTCTTATTTCTTTTCATTGTTCAGACGTTTCTCTGAATTGGTCAAACATTTGTTTTCTTGTTATAAGAGTAGGTATTGCTAGTTGCATTATCACAACTTTACAATTAGCTTCTGTAGAACTGGCTCCTGATCTTAGTAAGAAATACAGATTGTACATTGTATTACTCTCTTGTTAAGTACTTTGAGAATCATGTTATATGGACATGTAAACTTCTGTAATATTTATCTTGTGCTATCATAGTGAGACATATTTCTATTAGGGATGCACAGGTAGTAAAATGTGGTTGAATATTGGGTTCTGGGTACCTGATCCCTAAGTTTCGGCCAGGTATCAACTGGGACCGCATTCTCCCCTTGCCCCCCCCAAAAAAACATACATAAAAATTAGAAACAAAAACAAAATTGATGTTTATTACATTTAACCGATTAATCACCAACAGAACATTTAAGTTTTCCTTTCAACTTTCAGTGCCTAGCCCCAACTTCTCAAACCCTGACCCTTATTGTCCTCAAAACCTTTACCTTCCCCAGAAATCCACTTGTCAAGCCATGCCTGTTATTAACCCTTATTGTTCTCTGAATCACTGACTTTCAGCTAGGTGGCAGTCTTTGTTGATCGAAACATGCATAATTTTTAACTAAACCAATTATTGCCTGAACTTTCAGTACTGCGTTAATTGCCACAAAGATTAGGGCTTAGATGCTTAACTTTGACACTCGGCCTGATTCGAGTATTACCAAGTAGCCCAATACCTGGCCGGATAGCCATGTATCCCTAATTTCTATACATTACTAAAAGAATGATTATCATAAAATTGTATATAATTAGGTAATAATGACATTTTACAAGCAAACAAACAAAATATGACGACCACAGCTAAAGTGAAAGACAGCTCAGGATTGAAGAAACCTACTCAAGCTTTTCAGGTGTGGGAGACATCATTACAACAAATACAAAACTCCAGAAACTCGCATAAATCTAATGAAACAGCCAGTCAGTTTTCAGTTAGTGACATGAATACTACAAGAAGACTTCTGATTGTTTCAAGTAAATGCAAGCTTTCAAGCCAGCTTCCCAAAGCTGTGAGGTCTTGTATCAGTCTTGTTCTTTATCAGTATGAAAATAATTCACTGGAGGACTTAATAGGTAAGAATTACGTTTTAAATATATGTATCCCATGATCACATTTATTTTAAGTTATGTGTAAGTTTTTCATTCAACATCGGTCTCCTATATCCTGTACCCAAAACATGAAAATTGCTAGTAAAATTGTTCTCACTACTTTTAAACAAAAACCTTAAAAAAAGTTCAGGAATTCCCAAGAAGTTTCATCCATATGTTTTACAGGTAGCTTTTAGAAGAAAGCATCCTGCTTCTTTTGTGTGGAACAGTTAAATTGATCACCCTTTGAAATTCTGTAACACCTTTTAAATGAAGAAAAAAAGCAGTCTACCTTCTAAATTAAAATCAGTGATCAACTTTATTGCTTATTTGTTTTGTTGCTTACATATTTGGTAGATAGTTTGATATAAAAAAATTAATCCTGAAAATAATTTTAATTAAATTGGATTTAGAGATTTAAAAAATAAATGTATGAAATTTAAAAATGAGGAATTAAACCTGACTTTCAGAAAGTTAAATAAAAACACAATTTCCAAGCCTATAAATGTCAAGTAACTATATATATATATATATCTCCAAAACATCCACACATGGAAACAAGTCATGCTGTATCCATCTAAGAATGTTTTTAATTACAACAAACTTGTTACAATTCAATATTTCAGAGTTTAATTGATATTAGAGGTATCTTTGATTATGGTTAATATCACTTTTATAGGTTTATTTTTGGTAAAATAATCTGTATATTTTGTTTACATGTTGATATGAGAAAGTTTATCTTTGAGAGTAAAATTTAAATAATATTTGAGACTGGTGTTGATGGGTAAAGTAAAAATAATATAAACATAAGACAGAAAGTTAATTCTTAAAAACGTGACATCAAATATAAGTTTTCCTTAGTGATAAAAACTCTTACCTGGACCATTATATTCATTCTTCTCTTAGTTATTTTCTACACTTCAATATCTTACATTCATTTAAATCATTACGTTTAACATACACTTTACTTAATCAATGGATAAGAATCCTACTTATTTACTTTTATCTGTAAGATTTATAACTTTTATGTCCCATGAACATTCTTAACCTTCATTTTTAGGAATGAAGAGAGATGAGCTGCCAATGTCTAGCTTCACTCTCAGGTCTTCATTCTTGCTCCTGTGACACCTTCTTTTTCTGACACCTAATTTCACCCTGATGGTTAATATTTTTAAACTAATTCAACATCAGTTTTTATTATGTTTTACAACAGTTGGGTCATTCTCATTAACCAAGTATGTACACTAACTGTCCCTTTCATAGATATAGTTAGCAGGTTCTACTTTACTTGATCTAGATTCAAGTGGTACACACCAGCTCTTTCAGACAGTGTCTTTCATTATGGGAAAGTTAAGTTTTATAATTTTTTTCACATTGCTTTACATATATAACTTCTTTACATTTATTTTTAACTTATCATTTTCCAATTGAATGTTCAAATTACTTCATAATGAATCATTTTAGAGTACTAGAACACAAGTGACAACAGTAGCATCGATATTTTTCTATAAATGTAATGAAAATAAGCCAAGGAAATAAAATTATAATATTTAATAATACATAATGTATTATTAAAGTTCAAGATATTTTAAAAGATTAAATATTAGAAATTAGATGATGATTCTGTGAGAACAAAAAAGGACTTGCAAAAATACAATTATATTTTTTCATTATTTATAGGAATGATTACTACAGAACTGAATGGAACAAAAGTAAGAAGTATTGCATTTATAGCTGATGGAACAGAGTCTGAGATATATCTAACTGCTAACAGAAATGAGGTAAGAGAGTGTATGTGCTCTTATATAGGAGCTGTGGGGTGTTGGTTACAAAAACAAGTTAAAAGTTTATGGTTTAAAAACTTTGTTTAATCTCTCCTATTGGTTTTATTTATTTTTGTATTCATTCAAGTAAACTACAGATATTTGAACAACTATTTAATATGAACAACTTCTCTTTTCAGAATTTGTGTATTGTACATTGATCTGTTTTTCCTGTGTGTTTTATATCAAATAGTGTCAGTTGAAACTATTTTAACAATTCTTGTGTTGTATATTGATGTATTTGTTTTTGTTATCACATAGTGTCACCTGAAACTATTTTAACAGTTCTTGTGTTGTACATTGATGTATTTTTGTTATCACATAGTGTCAGCTAAAACTATTTTACCAGTTCTTGTGTTGTACATTGATGTATTTTTTGTTATCACATAGTGTTAGCTAAAACTATCTTAACAGTTCTTATGTTGTATATTGATATATTTTTTCTGTTATCACACAGTATCAGCTAAAACTATTTTAACAGTTCTTGTGTTGTACATTGATGTATTTTTTGTTATCACATAGTTTAAGTTAAAACTATTTTAACAGTTCTTATGTTGTACATTGATGTATGTTTTGTATTCTTACATAGTTCAGCTAAAACTATTTTTCCAGTGTTCTGTTGTACATAATGTCAGCTACAACTGTTTGAACAGCTAGGCTGTTGTTTAGTGATATATTTTCTCTTTGTCTTTTTTACTACATGTAGGTAGTGTCAGTTGAAACTATATTTGAACATAGCACTACAAGAGATTTTTTCTGTGCCTTGGTGGATAACTTAGATAAAAGTGCTAACGGAGCAAGGTTAGATTTCCTGGCATGTCAAATGGCCCAGAAGGAAGTTGGAAAACTTGTTGTTCAGGAATTAAGAAGACTTACAAAGGTTTAAAAAATTAATTTTCATAACAAATGTATAGAACTAATGTTTTTTCTAGTAATTATTGAAGTTCAGAATATATTGTTAAATAACTGTGTAAGTTGTACTGTAAGGGTGTATAATACTGTAAGTAAATATAAAGTGAGGTTTGAATTTTAATAAAATTAAAAATCTAGAAGAAAATTTTTCTAAGAAAAAAATCAAGATTTTAAACCAGTTTCACTTCACTGGAAGATTTTGAACTCTTATTCATTTCTTTTTATAAAATATTCATGGTAACAAGTAATCACACTTGTGATGGTCTTTCAACATATAAAGTGCACCATACAATATCAAATTTCCTAAAAAAATCAGCTGAAATTTTAAAATAATTTAAAATAAAAATACATATAATGAATTTTATGAAACTGTTTAACCCTTCATTTGGGTCTTGTGTAAGTCTGTCTACCACCCCATGCGCAAAGATTCATAAATTTTTGTTGCAGGCCATTCAAAATATTGCACGCAAAATGCTTGCATTGTGTAATGTCAACCACAGTTGAAGGGTTAAAATACTGAAAAATATTTGCTGGATACATCCTGTTCTAACTTATTACTTTGAAAAATTTACATCATTAAAGATATATCCATTATCTATGTTATAAAAGGATTACATCTATAATACTTGCAGTTAAACTGTATATACTGAACTCGCACAATCTTATCTCAATTTTTACTTGAAGGTAGTTTAAAGTGCTCCAAATTGTCCAAAAACTATGTTTTCAAAAATTTATTTTGATTTTACTCAAGTGAAGAGGCATTGGACAAATGAAAACTAGCAGAATCTTATTAACTGTCTACAGGTGCTTTTCAGTGATGTTAGCAAAACATGACTCAGACATCTGGACATAGAGCACCATCAGCCACAACACAAGCAGATGTTTGCTGTTTATTTTGGTGCACTATAATTGTAGGACTTCTGCTTCAAAACTAAATTATTGTTCATGTTGTTGAGATGAATTCACAAGAAAGTAGAAAACCTTGCAGCTACACAACTTTCTGTTGAACATAAAATATGTTTGTTATCTAATAAACACAAATATAGTAAAACCAGTAACATAGTTCTTTTCTTTAAAGCCTATATCTTTTAAAAGAAGTTTCTGTAAAGTGATCATATATCAAAGTTAAAACAGGAAACCACTTCCTTTTTAAATCATGAAATCAACTAACAGTTACCAAAATTATTTAAAATGAAACACCCAATTTAAAAGTTTTTGTTTGTATAGATTTTTTGTAGAACATATAAAACTATTTAGCAAGTCAGTTGAATTTGAGTATACTGTTCTTCAAAAGATGTTCTTTTTAAATTTCTAGATTTTCTAAATGCTTTAAAAAATTAAGTCTTAAGTTATTCTCTTTAAATATAGCTAGTCTAAAATAATAAAAATTATCACATAACAATTCAGCATGTTATTATGTGATTTCTTTTAAAATAATTTATTAGCTTTTTTCATGATTTTTAGTAAAATTTTATGTGATTCTCAAATGTTAATTTATTACACTAACATGTTTAGACTTATTAGAAAAACAGATAGTTAATTTAGAAACTTTGGTTATGATCTGAAAATCCCTGTTATTTAGTGGTTTGCCAGTTATTCTGAAATATAAGTAAGTTAAGTAAAATAAATGTTAATAATAAACAATTTGGTATTAATAATGAAGTGTTACAAAACCTTCACACTAATTCTGATGTGTAGTGACATAGATAAAACTGATATATTGAAACTGTTTTTGTTCGGACAGATTTCTAACATAAGTGACATCTGAACTATTACTGTGTCTATCTTGTCCATTCACATTCAGTTTGAAGATCCCTGGTATTGGGCAAAAGGCCTCTTTGACACTCGATATAGAAATTTTGTGTGTGAAATTACAAAACTTCAATACCTCTATAATAGATACCAAACATTCTTTTCTTACAATATATATCAATCAAGATTCATCAAATCCTTGTGTATTACTGAGATGATTTACAGAATCATATAACACAGTAGATATTGTATGTTGCCACATAATGTAAATACACTACCAAAACAGTTAACTCTCTGCATATGGGCCTCAGTCATTTTGGCTGACAAGTGCACATGTCATATTTTTACAGAGTTGCATTCAAAACTTAATTGAAAAGTTTTTATAAGTGAATCTCAATAAATTTGCAATAAAATTTATTTATAGTTCAAGTTTTAATATTATACAAGTTTTGCTTTCTTAATTTCAAAATGAAATATTTAACTGAATTCTCAACTTTCACTTGTCTGTATCACTTGATGTGTTTTAGCTCCAAATTACTCATTTTAGATTTTTTTTATACCCCTATATGATTTTTTAAGTTCCCATGAATTACACACTTATACTACAGATATTCCCAAGCTCAAATGTAAATTAGAAAGTTATTAGGTTTAATAGAATAACATAAATGAAAAGTAAATACTCCTTATAACATGTGCACATCTCTAAGAATCATGGTATAATTCGATGTGCGTGCTGATAATTTGATACTTTGTTTATGTAAAGCTGTTCTGCTGTAATGAATGGCTTTCACTGTACTCTGAGAGGGTCTGCCTCATAAGTTCACCTATAATGCACTGTGATGAACTTAGATTTAGCTGTATTAATGAATAGTGTGTATGTTTGTTACAATATGCAGTCATTCTAGAAAAAAAAAGGGAATTTTTGCGCATCAGTTTTACAGGTGGACTACGTGGGTAAAGCAGAAGGAGATAGCTGCCCATCCCTGCCATGCCTTGCATTGAATAAATTGGATGATGTGCTTTTCAAAATAGGGTTTTGTGGTCACCTATTGCACTGTCTGAGGTGTTGTAATTCCTCTGTACTCTCCAACATGCTTTCTCCCCCCCTTTTCTTCTAGTGGAGTTTGAGAGTCCTTACCACTTTCCAGTTCCAAGCCACAGGGGTGGTGGACTGTGGAGGCATCCTCCTGAATGTGTTAATGAAATACATATAATATATGTAAATGATTCTAAAACCATTCAGTTGAGAGTAGGGCAGTGGTGTTCTGCTGGTGTAGGTGAAGTAATATCCTCCACTATGTAACATTGGAGTGAGCTGTCAAAATTGTAGTTCACCCCTTTGATTGAGATCCCTCATCCTACCCCCCATGTGGATGTTGATTCCCAGTGTCTGGGTTGTGGATTTAAAGCTGAACCAATCAACTTAAGTTCTCACACATGTATTACAGATGTCTCTATTCCCTCACTCATTTAAACTCTTGTTATTCTAGCTGTATTGTGGGTCATGGTGGAGGCACTTGCAGATTACTACAGTTCTTTCCCTTCCACTATCCCTCGTTACTTATTATTCCAGTGATGTTACTGCACTTGGGGCAGTTCCAGTCATTATATATTTAAGTGAGATGGTTTACATGACATAGACATATTTTGAATGCTGGATATTGGGTTCTTGGATCGATCATTCAATTTCTCACATTGTTATCATGTGCCCATTCATAGGTCGGTGTACAAGATTCCCTCTGGTCTCATGAACTCTTTCCTACCCCTACCAGGTGGCTGGGTTTTGAATTGTAGTTGACTTGCCACTGGTATGATCGATCCTCTTTCTTACTCTAACTTGGGTGTCAGTTCCCGGTGGCCTGGGTATTGGATTGTAGTTGACTTGCCAGAGGTATGATCTTTCCTACCCCTATGTGGATGTCAATATCTGGTAGCCAGGTTTTGGATTGTAGTTGTCTTACCCATGGTATGATCCTCATCCTATCTCTACATGGATGTTGGTTCCCACCAGCATGGGTTTTGGATGTAGTTGACTCACTGTGTTCGGTCTGTCGCACCCTAGCCACTCTACACCTAGGGGCACATCCTTTAATCTTACCCACTTTTATGTTTTCAGGGATTGAGTTGAATAAACAGTATATAGTTCGGATCACTATCTGCCATAGTTCTCTCCCATTTGGATGTGCTCCTCCATCTTTCCGCTCATCTATGCAACATCTTTTCACAATGGTGAAGAGTATACCTGTATCAGAAGTGGTGTAGTCTCCCATGTATGATCTTCATATCTGAAGATCTCCTTTTGGGGAGTGTCCTTGGACACTTTTAAAGGATGCTTCTTTCTTTCCTTCACACTAGTCCCTCCACCTATTCAATATGGGATTCTAGCTATTTATGTGAGAGGAGGTAATGTACGTATCAGAAGTTATAATTTTCCTATACTGAAAATGTATTTCCGCTTACCTCTTCTCAAACTCCCCACTGAAAACCAGTGCTTCAATTTTCTGCCAACACTCAAAGTGATAGTTTGGTAGAATTGAGTCACATGCATCAAGAGAGTGTGTTGCACTCTTATTGGTGGAGGGTTGTCTCATGATAAATTGCATGTGAGATGCATTGGAATTATTCAGTTCCATATGGGTGGGAGGTTCAAGGCTTGTATCATGTGCAAAATATTTTTTTGCATATAGATGGCAGTACTGAACAAGAATAGCTGTTTATGTGAAAGAAGGTAAATACTAATCACAAATACATTTTCAGTATAGAAAAATTATAACTTTGAATACATATAACCTAGAATAACTGATCTAGGATACCATATCTAGAATAACATATATCAAATAACAGACTACGACATGAATAATAGATTTATAATGACATATCTAGAACAACTTATCATGAATAAAAGATCTAGAACAACATATCATGAATAAAAGATGTAGAACAATGTATCGTGAATAAAAGATCGAGATCAGTGTATCGTGAATAAAAGATCTAGAACAACATATCATGAATAAAAGATCTAGAACAATGTATCATGAATAAAAGATCTAGAACAGTGTATCATGAAGAAAAGATCTAGATCAGTGTATCGTGAATAAAAGATCTAGAACAGTGTATCGTGAATAAAAGATCTAGAACAACGTATCGTGAATAAAAGATCTAGAACAACGTATCGTGAATAAAAGATCTAGAACAGTGTATCATGAAGAAAAGATCTAGATCAGTGTATCGTGAATAAAAGATCTAGAATAGTGTATCGTGAATAAAAGATTTAGATCAGTGTATCGTGAATAAAAGATCTAGAACAACGTATCGTGAGTAAAATATCTAGAAAAATGTATCATGAGTAAAAGATCTAGAACAACATTGTGAATAAATGACCTAAAACAACATATCGTGAATAAAAGATTTAGAACAGTGTATCGTGACATCTAGAATACTGGTTGATAATAACACAACTTGAATAATAGATCTAGAATACTGGTTGATAATAACACAACTTGAATAATAGATCTAGAATACTGGTTGATTATAACACAACTTGAATAATAGATCTAGAATACTGGTTGATAATAATACAACTTGAATAATAGATCTAGAATACTGGTTGATAATACCATATCTTGAATAATAGATCTAGAATACTAGTTGATAATAACAGATGTGGAATACTGGTTGATAATAACGTCTTGAATAGCAGATTTAGAATAACTTGTTGAAAATAAATCTTGAATAACAGATATGGAATAACTGGTTGATATTGACACAACTTGAATAACAGACTTTAAGATTGATTTATTTTCATTTCAGCATAAAAAATGCTCATATTAACAGTTAATGACTGTTGGGTTTCATAAAAGTTATATTTATAGTAACTTGTTACATTTTATAAAAATACTAATATTAATAGGGACTTTTTATATTACATAAATTTGCTGATTTTACTGGTTAATGACATATTTATGTTTAATAAAAACATTGATATCAATAGTGACTTGTTATGTTTGATAGAAAATGCTGATATTAATTGCTCCAGAATTGTTTATATTTCATAAAATTATTGATTTTAATGGTTAGTGATTTAATATTTTTAAGAAAAACATAACTGATTTTATTGGTTAGTAACTTGGTTATATTTCAGATATTTGTTACTTTTTTCTTCTTAATAGTGCCATGTAGAGCTTTCAAAAGACATGTTGGGATCAGATACTAGAGTAATTGTAGTGGTACGAGGAGTGGAGGAAGTTGTGTAAGTTATTTTTGCTATAAAATGTTGAAACATATTTAATTTTTGATAGTGAAGAAGTAGGATTGTAATAAAATGTGTGATTGATTAGTGTTAAATTAACCTGTCATTGGTTAGGCATATAAGAGAACCAAGCTTACAGATTCTTTAGCTGAAAAATATTTATGAGGATAATCACACAAGACAAAATGTTTTAAAGAGTACAGTTGCATGTTTTGTAGTTTTCTTTAAAAATGTGTGTGAAAATATGATATTTTATTTAAATGCTAGTTGATAATGAAACATGCATTTTTTTTTTTGTACATGTTGATTACTACCTCAGTTTCTTTTTAGTCCAGTTGGGGGCCTATATTTTATTCCACAGAAACTGAAGGATGTGATGTATGGACACATTGAATCACACAGTCATTTGCAAAACATGATTAATTATGAAAAGATAAGAAAAGTGGGAAGTGGTGAGTGTTCTTGTGAAAGAACTTAGACCTTGCATTCTGTAATTTCTTTACTGTTGGTCAACAATGCACTTGTATAGTGATAAAGTAAAAGTGAACTGTAAGCATTACACAACAACAAACTGTATTAAAACAGATTGTACAGTTTGTGATTTTAAAAATGTTTTTTATACTGAATGTGAAAGATGTTGAGTGTTTGTTTTCTGAATTACCTTGCTGTTTTATTAATGCTGCTGATAAAAATTATATATCAGATCAGGATAAGTTTTATTTTGATTTAATTACATATTAAAATATATTCATTGTTTCTTAAGGGCATATTTTAAAACATACTTTGTATGTAAATGTTAATATATCTTTTTAACCATTTTGTTTTGTACATTTATATACTTGCTACTTGGATGGTCATATGGCTATTCTGTTTTTGTTTGTTCAAAAAATCCTGACTACTTTGTTCTAATTTAGGGGCTTTTGGCACAGCTGTCTTGTACAGAAATATAAATGATGACTCACTGGTTATTTGGAAAGAGATCAACATGCTTGATCTGAATTCATGGGAAAGACAGCTTTCTTTGAATGAAGTAAGGACAAATATTACTTCAGTTTGTGAAAAACAAAAAGTATCAACTTTTCAGATGATAACTACAAATATTTTTAAGCAAGATCTATAAATCACCATTTTTTATTTACGAAGAGAAAAACATCCTTCGTGTTTTTTGTATTCTGTAATTTATAAATGCTTTTAGACTACCAGTAACTTGATACAGAGGTATCTAACATTTCATTTGGATGTAGAACCCATAATTGGTATTGGGTTGCAAACAAAATATGTTTAAAATTGGAACAAATATGTACTAATGTTTAACAAATACATGTGGATTTGTGTTTTTTTCAGGTCAAGGTTTTGTCAATGCTCAGTCACCCAAATATTATTTGTTACTATGATAGCTTTGAGGAAGATGGTGTTTTGATGATTAAGATGGAGTATGCTGATGGTGGGTAAGTTCTATGTGGTACCAATCTGTTACAACAATAAGCTATTAGGAATGTTCAACAGTTAAAACTAGTTACTTAAGGCTGGTACTTGTTTCAAATAAGTTTTTATGATTTCTTTGTGTTTTTTAAATACCTTGTTTCTTACTATGAACTAAACATAAACTGTTAAAAAACACAGTGTTGTATAGATGTATTTGCATTTTTTGAAAACAATCTGTGACATAACTTTATCACAACTAGTGAGCGTCTTTCAGGTGTTGAGTGCACACCTGTATATCAAATTTCAGAAGTTAAGTAAAAATAATAAATCTAACACTATTTAGATAAGTTTTAGCTCATAAATATAATAGAATTAGTATTTTTAATTGTATAACATTTACTTAATGTAATTCATAACAAGAAATGATAATTTTTTCCAAGTTTAATTTTTGCAAAGCTCCGTGGAGTCTCTCCTGTAAATAATTCACAAATTCATAAAATTTTAAAAGTACAAAAAGGAGCTTATTAGCCCATCAAGGATGTCTCTTCCAGCTCCCAATTATAATGACCCTTTAATACTCATGTATCCATCCAGTCTTTTCTTTTTCTCAGTTAAATTTTCTGCTTCTACCACCCTTGAAGGCAGCTCATTAAAAAGCCAACCACCCTGTTTAAAAAATCATACTGTCTAAACTGTTAAAAGTTTAATTTATGATCCCTTGTTCCATTGTTTTCACTGCTAAACACCAAAAAGTTTGCTGGATCTATATTACCGATACCCTTAATAATCTTAAACAACTCAATCAGATCCCTTCTACTCTCCAGAGAAAACAAGTTTAGAGATTTTAGTCTCTCCTCATAGGAC